TAGCGCCACCGCCACCGCCTCCTTGCAGCGAGAAGGTCCGCTTTCGAGTGCCACCGTTGAACATGGCCTTGACGTCCTCCCACGCGTGGCTCAGTTCGTCTGTGGCCGACTTGTCACTGAGTTTAAGGTGACGGCGCCAAGAGTTGAAGTTGGCCGCGTCGGGCTGCGTATACTTGGCGTCGGGTGTGCGGTGCGAATGGAAAATGAACTTGTTGGGCGAGAAGTACATGCTGCAGTAGCCGCACTTGATGCACTTGGCACGCGAGCTGTTGTAACGCGCGGGGATGAAGCTGCCACGCGAGCCCCAGGCGCACTCATGCACCACATCGAAGGCGAAGTTCTCCGGCAGCTTGGGCGGCTTGTGCTCGCCCAGGAACGACTTGCACAGGCGCTCGGCCTCCCGCTTGGTGATCATGCCGCAGCGGCGCGATGAGATGGGCATGGCGCCGGCCCGACGCAGAATCTCCAGCTGCACGGGCGTGCATTGAACGCACGTGATGCCCAGGGCCACGCGGCGGTTGTGAATCTCATTGTAGCTGTAGTTCTTGAGGAGGGTGTTGGAGATCTGCGCCAGGCACAGGCGCTCCTGGCCGTCGATGACCAGAGACACGATAGGCACTCCGTACAGCGAGGTCTCGCCCACCTGGTTGGGTTTGAGAGCGCTGGAGCCCGAGTACGGCTGCAGCTCCTGCTTCGAGTTGGGCGAGGAGTTACCCTCGCGCCCCGGCCCCAGCTGAGTGGTGAGAGCCTCCATGCCGCCGCTCCTGCGAAACAGAGAAAGCAGAGAGCAGATGAGCCATTTTCAGCGCCGCCGCTGCTCGGGCCCGCCCAGCGGGGCGCGCTGAGTCTGGCGCGAGTGGGAATCTTGGCAATGGGGAGTCCAAGCTCATTCGCCCCCTAGACGGGCGCCTTTTGTTATTCGGACTCATGCTGGCGCCGGAACAAAAGCCCCTGGGGTTTGGGTGAGCAGAGGGGTAATTGAGACCTCAGCAATGCCCGGTCTGCTAGGAAAGAAATCCCGTTTTGGGAATGGGGAGGAGGTGGAGCCCAGAGACGGAGAGTGACTTGCCCAAGGCCACACAGCAAAGACATTGCGGAACACGAGCTTCCCGGGCGCTGAGATCCGTGCGCCTTCGGCCACCCTCAGCCGGCCCTGCCCGCCCTGGTCTTGAAGCCCGCACTTCGGGGACGGCCTTCCCTCAGCTCTGTAGTGCTCACACGCGGGTGGGCAGGCGGGGGCAGCGCGAGGATTTTCTTATAATTATTTTTATTTCTGTGATATCACTTCTTTTCTGCATTTCTGGTTTTATTTATTTGAGTTTTATTTTTCTTCTTCTGGATGAATGTCATTAAAAGTTTATTTATTTTGTTTATATTTAAAAAAAACAGCAGTTTATTTCATTTATCTTT